TATCTCTCGGCATGTGTGCTAGGGTGGTGCATGTAAATGCAAATGTGTGTAAATAATATGTGTGGATAGAACAAGGAAGAAGAAGAAGAAGAAGAAGAAGAAGAAGAAGAAGAAGAAGAAGAAGAAGAAGAAGAAGAAAAGATCTCGCGCGGTTCGTGATCCATTGGTTAGGGTACTTCTCCAGCATTTGCTTTAAACTGAGCAGGACCGGAGCACTTGCTCAAGAAACGGGCCACGGACCGGGCGTGATCTTTCGCTCCTTATCTTTTTCCCGTCCTCTCCCCTATAAAAACCCACACTTACATACACTACTCTACTGCTCAGGGTGGGAAACCCATCAGGCGCTTAAGAGTTTTCCTTTCACAGAATGTGGTCCGCAGGGGGGTATATCTGGGGGAGGGGGGAACCCCCTACGCCAACATGTTCCTCGTGTCCAGATTTCGTGTTCCAGCGGGGGTGAAACATTGCAGCTTAAAGATGCACTACGCCTCCGGAATTAAGCAGTTTCCGCAACCGGAAACTGAATTAAGTAACAATTTTAAATTACTTAAGTGTACAAAATTTCAATTTCCACCGAGAGCTGCCAGATATTTTCTACATAAATTGCAGATAAACATATGCCTAACAGTGAGTGAATCCAATATATTTTCATTGTATTATTTTTTCGTGTTCTTGTGTGATCGCGGTGATGTGTATTAATTTAATTAATTTTAGAGATATGTATATTACAATAATTTCAAAAAAAGTATCTTGTTGTTTCGTTTCTTGATCTTTGTGGCTTTGCAATTTAAACAATTGAAATAGATTTGAAACATCAATGTAACTAGTGGTGATACAAACGCATATTCTTTCTCCCATTATTTTTAATTTTATCAATTTTCGAAATCTTGAAACATTTTCAAATGTTCTTGTTACGTATCTAACACAACGTGTTAGAGAAGGTATTTACTATAAGCATATAAGAAAAATGTATCCAAATGTATCCTTTTTCGTTACAAGGACCCGGGATTAAGAGATTTTCTGAAGAAAACGCCGTTTTCCGGCGCATGATTACAGTTCTTCTCTGATTACGAAGATAGTGTGAAAAAGTAAAAATGGGGTATTTTTTGTGAAGTAATCTCAATTATAGAAAAGTTGTGACCCAGGCCAAAAAGTTTATTAATGGTTTATCTAGTGCTTTTATTTATGACCAAGGCACCTCAGATTTCTTGATGTATATAATTTCTAAGGAAAATTAACGAAAGCACACATGAACAACAAATGAGTAAATAAAACAGCCTTGTTCAATTAAAATTTGAAAGGTACGTATTATTGCATGTGTTCAGCAGAAATCAGTTTCAATTACATCCACTGCAAGATTATTTTACTGGAATCAATCATGAGTGTGAGTAAAATAATGCCTATTAAAATCTGAGAATCACGATAAGACGAGGAAGATGTCTGGGGAAGTGAAAATCTGCGAAGAACTTCAAGCGTTTTACCTACAACATTTCACATGGAATGAACATTATTTGAAACTGCCAATACGTTCCCATTGGTCATATATGAGCGCCTTGGCTACCCGGACGGGATCATCCTCTAAATATAGAGTAGCGCATTCCTTTGCAAAGCGGATTCCGTCGTTTTATATCTAATTGTCACGGAAGTTCGAACTGATCTTTACGGTATTGTGTGTATTGTGACTATCAATACACCCGAAACCAACAAAAATATAAAGTATCTCTAGCAAATTTATAATTCCTGTCCTTTTGTGTTCATTTCTTATCAACTCGGGCATGCTACGAGGCAAGGCTATTCGGTGGGAAGATATTAAATGACAGCGGTGAATCAGGTTGCACTTCTCTGTGCCTCTCGGGACACCAATCCCCACGTCACCGTCGCGCCCTGTGAATACTAGAAGTCGAAAAGCCTCCCCGCCTTGCCCCTCCCCACCCGCCTCCTCCTTATCCCGACAGGACTGCATCCCCCCACCCGTCCTACCCCACCCCGCTTCGCTCCGCTCCACGGCACACGTCGCGGCGGCGCCTGCAGCCCCCGCCCCACGCCGCTTAACGCACGGGCGCCCGACGGGTTGCGTCCGCAGGGGCGCTGGGGAGCCTCCGAGCTGCTGCTCGGGCAACGCTGAGCATTTCCCTCTGCCGCGGCCGCCTTTTCCGGAAAAGCTCCGCGCCTTTCTGGAAGCGCTGCGCTCGCGCCGCCGCCCCGCGCCCACTCCCGCGGCGCCCATCCTTCCCCTCCCCGCAGCACATAGGCTCAGGGACAACAAACATTGCTTGTCTGGCCGGGAGGTTCTAGGATTCGAGACCGGACGATGAGGGATTTTCGACTCTAGCTCCACAGCTAGGTCGTATTCAGCTACTGCCTGGAGGAGAATTCTGTGGCCAGTTGCTCTCATCGATATTTTTGCAGTGTTTCTCCCATCAAAAGCTGACGAACGTCTGAAATAAACAAACGCGTCACGGTCCGCGCGCGATCTTTCTTTCCTCAACTTTGTGCCCTCCTCGCTTCTTATAATCACATTCATATATGCAGTACATTTGCATGCGGGACTCATCAGGAGATCAAGGTCTATCCCGCACGGGTTGTTGCCCCGCTGAGGAGATAACTGAAGGGGGGAATCCCTGCAAGACACGCGTTGGTAGGTGCCGAATGTCACGTGTCTCGGGAAAGAAACTCCGCCCGCTCCACGCTACAACATGTACTAATCTCACGCGACCATTGACCGTAGTAGTTAACACGCCCAGAAAAACGAAATACGCACTCACACCTACACCATTCGGTCAACACACGAGAATCCACTACCTCACTCACTAACTCTATGGAAACGTACAGAAAGACTTTTTATTTCCTGAACGCTTGTGACGTTTTCCATTCGTCGCACTGGTGCTCGCTGAGTGGGCACTCAGGACCGCTTATCGTCTTATGTGTGGTCGGTAGAGCGCACCAGTGAAAGGAAGCTCGTATTTCGTTCAGGGAATGGAACGGAACAATGGCGCATTAAGTTCCCTTAGGAACTCGACAAGGCACATCAATGCAACGGTCACTATTTGTGACTAGATACAAAGTTTTACGAGAACGAAAATTATGATGATACAATTGTTTTGAAGGATGGAAATCTTCATCCTTCATTCCAATTAAATCGTGTAAAAGGTTTGCCGATACTTATCAGATGGTTACGTTGTTATGAATTCACTGCTCAATCCATATCTCGGACAGTAGATCGTGTGAATGACAGAAGGTCCTGGAGTCGGATCCCGGTAGGATCAAATATTTACAGTTCGTGACAATCCGTTTTCAAAAGATACGGATATTAAGGAAGTATGCGTGGGGCAAGTGTCAAGGTAAATGATAATCGTCTGTGGATCACAGACACATCAGAAAATGAACATGTAATTCATATAAGAAGAATGGTCTCCAAATAAATTTTGTGACCTTATGAGAAGTTTCGACAATGAACTGATGATTTTCTCAGTTTCCGTTTGTTGTAAATTAATTAACTAACATTACAATAATATTACAAATATTGTTTAATACTACAATATCATATTGTATTTAATACTACAATATCATATTGTATTTAATTATACAATTATATATTATATAGTGTAATTATGTATTTAATAATACAATACTATGTAATTGTAATACTAATATTAAAATTGTTTGTTTTTCAGTTTCACCGGAGTTGTTGTCTACGAGGCCCAGCTTTTTCAAAGTAAGTACAATAATTGAAATAATTTAAATATAGTACGTCAAGAAATACTTCTAAAAGACACCATACGTCGGTGGAAATGCGCATGTAAATGTTACGCATGGATGACTGGTGTGTAAGACAGTATTTCATTAGTTCAATAACTATTATGTATGCCTTAGATCGCAATGCACACTTCAGCATACGCAGCAATATTTCTTAATTCTGCTTCATTAGTTGCTACCCATCACACGAATTGAGCAGCACTGCTGCAGAGCGATGACGTCATTGCCCATCACTGGATTCGATATCAGTGTAACGCATGAAAAATAGTATATTTGTAGGCGAAGTTCAATATCGTTCAACAGTGTTCGGAGCAACTCAAAGTATCTAACGTGTAAATGGGGCAGGTGTGAAAAAAGATTAAAACCATAGCATCCAATATGGATATTTTTTTTTGTCAAAGTTGGAAATGTTTTTATAGTAGACTAGGGGACAATTGTTGGAGGAATAAGTACTATGTTTTAAATGAAAAGTGTAAAAACTGTTAACAACTTAAATTACATATTGCTAGAGGGTGTGGAGGAGGGGTTGGAGGCTCTGTTACGCTGCGTTGCAGCGGAGTGGAGAGTGATAATTTAGAGTAACGTAACGCTGATAGTTTTTTATTTAATAAATTTTCTGAAATAATTTATTACTAAAAAATTACAATATTAACAAATTGAATTTTAAAAAATATATACAAATTAAATATCATTGTTTAAACTGCTACAGTTACTAGCAATATTTTGTATGGTTTACTAGTTCAATGCTGTGTCTTTACGGGCCTGAAACAAAACACGTAATTGTATTGTTAATACCCTTGCGGGTCTTTCTGATTCTTTATACCTGCGCGGTTTATTTGAATTCTTTATAGCCCGCTCTAATGCCAACACAAAAAATACAACATTTTTATGAATTCAATTTATTAACATTTCTATTTATTTACAATAAATAAATGACATAATGACGAAATGAGTAAAATAACTCGTTATATAACTTATTTTGCTCAATTGATATGATACTTGAAATTTTGAATATTCCCGTGAATTTATAATTGCCATCACTCACTCATATTTCACTGTTAAGTATCACCATTGTTTAGACATGTATAATTCTTGCTACTTATTGCTATAAAAATCACGTTTGAACAATTGTTGATCATTATGTTAATTGGTCTAAATTTATGACAATAAAGTTGAACACAAATCTAAAATGAAGTAAATAAAATAAATTTCACATTATCATTAATACGTTGTGAATCGATGAGAAAGAGTGTATAAAAGTGTACATCGTGAATATATTGAAAGTTATGAAACCACATTAGCTGATAAATTAAGTACAGCAAAGAGTAAAGTGTATCAAAAATACAAACAAACAAACAAAAAACAGAAGTCTCTATTGTATTTTCAAATAATCAACCTAACTTACTTTCAAAATTAACTAGTTACTGGAATCAGGTTAAACTGATTATATATTAATTGAGAAATAAGAAATTTAGGGGCGAATTACGTACGTTAATTGCTGGTACTACAGTAGTGAAAATTAAAAATCGATATCGAACAAATTAACACAACTACTTTGTAACAATAACACCCAAAGAGTTTCCGAAAAATTAATGGTGAAAAATAGATCCAAACCACGATCAAATCGTGGAGGAAGAATACTCTGTTTTATTCCTCCTGTTCAAACCAACAGAACCGTTGTATAAACAAATGAACATTTTCATTTGAAACACAGCCGACATGTCGTATTTAATAAGTAATTTGTGTACATGTGCCACAGATATTAACTCCAAAGTAATTATGGGAAGAAAGCAACTAAAGCTGTATATGACGTTTCATGGAATAAGAATGTCCGCCAGGATGCCAAAATAAGGATATTCCACTATGTGGTAGATAATATAGTACTATGCAGAGCGGAAATGTGTCCACGAACACAAAAAATAAGATTATGACAGTAGAAATGGACTACATGAGACGATGTCTACAACTTACTTGCAGGGACAGTGTGAAATGAAGAAATATGGAGAAGAATGAATGCAATTTATTCTATTGAGAAGTCCTTGGAAAATGGAGCACTACAATGATAAGGACATGTTCAGAGAATGCCTGGAAACAGATGGCCACACAAGATCTTAAAGTGGCAATCACTTGAGAGGAGAAGAAGAGGATGACCAGTTTTAGAATGAGAAAAATACATTGAGGAAGCTATGGAAGATAGAGCCCTCAAAGCAGGAGATTGGAAGGACTGAGAGGTGTAGAGGATGTAAACGACAAGTTCCTAAAAGGAAAATGCCGACAAAGAACAAAAAGCACCAAAAAAAGTTTTTAGAGCAATTACGTATAATCATCTGCATGGATTAGCAAAAAAATGACGAGTTCCCCTGCGGGAGACCGAGACGCGCCGAGTCACTTCATTTGTTGCACCGGAACGGGTCTAACGGCGAGTGACGGACGGACGCAGGTTCACGATTACTACGTAAGGATAATGAGGAAGAGGAAGCCCATCTTCATCACCGCATTGCCATTTGGAAGCGACGGTAATCTCTCCAACTGCGATTGGTACTGCTCCCGCGGGGGGAGGGGGGAGGGCCCTCCGCCTCCGAGCCCGCGGCGGCGGGGCGTATGTGTGTCAGGCGAGAGATCGCGGCCCGGCCGGCGGTGACAGCTGAAGGCTGCCGCCGCCCGCCGTCGATCACGGCTGTAATTAAATTGTGGCGCGGCGCGGCTGACGCAAGGGGGCGTTGCGCCAACGCCCGCAGCGGGGGCGGGGCGGGGGCGTGGGCGGGGGCGGGGCCGCGAGCGCCCACGCGCTCCTGGGTGGGCTCATCGCCAGCGGGGGGCGCTCCTCCGGGCCACTTAGGGAAACCGGATTCTAGCAGCGCTCACGGGGCGGCATTTAAGAAGGTGACTTTCAAGTTCCTTCGGAGTTCGACAAATTATCACGACTGGCTAATTAGGCGTAACAACCTAGCAGGAGAAAACCTCTTCATGTTCTTTCCTGCTGGGATAGTTAACCTTGAATTTAAACTGCTATAATACTAGAAGCCCTTCATCGACGGATTAAGTATTTTATTCGCATCAAATGGCTGTTTAAGATCGGTCTCTAAAGCAGTGAACCGAAAACAGATTGCGCACAATTTGTAGAATGAGAAGGAGATATTTTTATATTTTTTAAGTACATAAAACTACGAGAAAAAGTGCGGTAATCCTTTTACGAATATGACCATCTGCCTCAAAAACTGTTCCATGTATTTACAGCAAACATATTGTATCAAGTGGAGTGTTGTTCCTTCATGATAATCCTATAGTCTCATTTCGATTAAACTACTTGGTGCTCGAAAATTAACATATCTTAAAAAGATTTATTTTAATTCATACGCAGTACTTCAAATACCTGATCTTAAAAAAGAGTGCTTGGAAGCAACGTGCAAAACTTCAGTGATGTATTAAGAGGAAATTTGAAGTGTAAAAGAGTAATTAAAATGTATTTAATGAATTGTTAAAAATCTATATTCACCAGACTATTGTTTTCTTTTCACTATATTACATGTAGATGGTTTCGATAGTTTGCATGGTAGGGTTCCATGAAGCCGGCGGCCAACGTCGGATCTACCATATGAAAGTTAGGTATTTACTTTTTTCCGCTCCTGTACAGCGCATCGAATTGCAAGTTTCACAGTTGTTCGTATAGACCTCGCCAAAACCAATGTAAAAGGCCGTAAGCGTTTTTTGCCTTCGACGCTTAGTTTAGCCAGAAAATAAGCGTAGCATGTTTCGATTCGCCTCTATAGCTCGATGTGGCGGCTTATCCTACCACGTGAAACGAAGTTTCACTTCAAAAACCATTTATAATTAATTAAATTGCTCATACCTAAAAGTTACATCTCACCGGCGAAGAAAGGCCATTATAATTTAAACTAATCCTGCTACAATAGCACATACGTTCTTGTAGGATTCGTAACGGATCCGCAATATTATTCTGCTTCTTGAATTTGCAAAAGTGTTTTCAACCAGCAACATGTTTTGCACGCCGAGACTCGAACTCAGTCTCAATCGAGTTAACTCGCAAAGCGCTTTACCGCTACATCTCACAGTTGCTCAGACGTGGTTACTTGAGCCGACGGTTAAAAATCTAATACTCTCTCCCACCATTTCCAACAGCCCAGTTTCGAAAATTCAGAGAATTCAACGTACATAAGGCCTAGGTCATTCTTTTAGGCGTCTCTTCTTTTATCTTTAAGCAAAAGCTACTGTTTTTCAAAAAATATACATGACATTTTTTGAAGAGATACTTTTTAGAGCACATTGTATTTTAAGAAAAAATCTCTGGCTTCTATTTTATAGTTAAATAATGTTAACATTTTTTCAATTTAAAAAAATTCGCCTTAAATTAAACTACCACCATTTTTTACCGTCCTTTGATGAGAACGAGAACATTTAAAGAAACATTTGCAGTTCTTGAGAAAATAATCGTTAAAAAGTTGCCTATATTTCACGCAAAAGTACGCGAAAACTAATATTTTCGAAAAATTGTATATGACATTATTTCATTGTGTCCTTTCATTATGCTTTTGATTAAAGAAAATAATATCTACCTTCAATATTGTATTTCTAGGACCACTCAGAAAAATGTGTGAACTTATTCAAATTTTCGAAAAATCTGGGATTTTAACGAAAATGAGACCTGTGTCCTCTACGATATTCGAGGATAAAGTTTAATTTAAAAAATGTCAGTAATGTTTGAAGAAATTTGGAAAATGTTGATATTTTCTGTAAATTACTCCTAAAATCAAAATATCCCTATCAAAGTGTGAGAGTGTTGTGTTCTTGTAAATCGATCGAGGAATACCAGTTGTGGAGAACATCGGCTGAACGATTTAGGCGCCACGATTTACTAAGACAGAAGTTTTGTCGTCAATTTAAAATAAGTTCTAGACTTATGACGTAAATGAGATTTGCCAACTTTGCGTACTCATTGAAACAATGATTACGCAAGGTAGGAGAGCACTTTGAAAGTCGCTTTCAATTATGTTATGGACCATATGAAATATAACCTGCTTACACCTATTAATGAAAATAAATATGTTAGCAAATCAAAGAAATCTTGCATTAGAAGGTATAGACTGGTGATATGCTCGTATCCGGGGTTCGTCAAAATGCAAAATAACATATGAGAATTGTGGTAATGTTGATAAGCTGTCTAGACATTAACATATGCGACCCTGCAGAAGCACCGTCAAACGAGAAAGCGATGGCATTTCTTTGCTGTTAATAAGAAACCTCTGCCGAATCTACAGCAAGATCCTCCCGCAAGATTTGTAACGACGCGGTGGCCCAAACGGCAGCGAGAGGCAGGGAGGCGGCGGGCGGAAACGGCGGCCGATGTTGCGCAACTCGAGGCAACTTTGGACGTCTTACCTGTGTTTTCCAGGAAGCTCATAACGAACCCCGCGTCCCCGCCCCCACGTTCTGCGGTTGGCATGCCGCCCCGCCACCGCGATCCGCATTCCGCGCCATGGGCCCCGCCGCCCCGCCTCTGCTCCCCGCCCCGGGCGACGGTCGGCGCGGCGCCGCGGCGCCACCGCCAGGTCGCAGGGGGAGGGCAGCTCAGCACGCGGTGGTTCAGTCGCCTGCAATGACGGTTCCTCTCCCGCGCTAGGCCTCCTCATTTAAATTGCATTGATGCTTTATTTTTTACGTAGCGAGACTTGGGCCATGAGGCCTGCTCTTCCGCATGACCACGTAAATTTTGCTACGCTCCTTTCACCAACTAGCGGAGAAAGAAGGACCACTCGGGTGACGAAACAGGCGATTTGAATTCAGCTCAGAGGCTTCATTTAGGCTTGAGGATCTTTTACATGCAAGTTAATCTACTAACATGGGACAGCCGGCTTTACTTCCCCTCCAAAGAGAGGCGTACAAGGATTTGAATTTAGCTCAGATGCGTCATTTAGGCTTGAGGATCTTTTACATGCAAGTAAATCTACTAACATGGGACAGCCGGCTTTACTTCCCCTCCAAAGAGAGGCTTACGAAGGATTTGTTCTTCCTTAAAAATTCACGGCTTCGATCGGGTTTGAACCCTACGGTAGTATAACAATTCGCCAACCTTTACGCCATGGCTGCCGCATTTGCAGTCTCCGCTGCCATTTCTCACGGCCATTTCTCAAGGCCATTTCTCAAGTGTTCATCAGAGAAGTCCAATCCATAGAACCAGAAACCAAAATATTTTTTGTGTGTTCCAAATAAAATTTGCAAACATAGAACCTGACTAGAGGACCAATAGTGGGCCCATAGTGGGCCACCTTCTCAATGTATTGTGTGTAAGCTCAGAATTACTGAGTAAGTACTAAAAAGTGCATATGTAAAGTTTAAATTATTATCCATTTACCTTCAGAAAAAATAAATTAATAAAAATAACAGGGAAGAAAGATACGT